CTTTGAAGAGCTTTATGAGTACAAGAATTTTGAGTAATCGATGAGAATCAGCTGACTGAACTGTTTCAGATCTCTATTTTCAATCAGACTACGTTCCAACAGGTTGTCTTATAAATTGGTGGTTTCTGAATTGAAATTTTGTGAGAATTTCCGATCCAGTTTTGGTGCAGACGTTGGTCTGTTTCATCTTGTACCCGCAGCTGTGTTTATTTACCTTAAACTGACTTTACTACAGAGTTTTCTGATAAACTGATAGATCAGTTACTGAGCAGCATGAAACGTGTCGTTAGAGAAGCAAGTCACTTGCGTTCAGCATTGTTAAGCTCTGAGTAACTATTGTGAGTCGATACGAATCATTTCAGTCTTGAAAGCCAGCTTTGAGCCGCAGAAGTGGTGCATTCGAATTGATGAAATCTTTTGCCCCATTCATTTCTATGAGAGTATCTTAATATGCGAAAAATATGTCACGCTTATTCACAAATTTGATCGGGGGCGTTTGCATTAAGGGAACAAAGGGGTATCAAAGTGATATTCACTGTCCTGTTGACCCAGCGTTAGTTACTAGATACGTTCTTCTAGTTAGTTGCCATCACATTGGGATGCATTTGTTCACCAGTGCGCAACTTGAACACAAGTGAAACGTTCACTCGCAAGAAAACGTAAATTGCTTTACGCCTAGATGGGATAAGCTGACATCGACAGTGGGCCAGTCATGAGCGGCGATCGCTTTTTAGATTCCCACAAATTGAGATCTAGCGTGGGTTATAATTACGGATTCCAGACACTAGTCTTCTCCGGAATTTAAACTTTGCGAGTAAAATAGTTGCTAAAATTAACTTATGGAAGATCAAACTTTCTTTAAAAAAGCTGGCACCAACACATGGCATGTGGGATGCTGATATGTATCGGAATCGGGTATGATCAACAGCTATACGCGACCTGGGAACGAGCGCACGAATCCCCAGCTATGACGCGAGCCCAACCACTCCTAGCGCAAAAAGAGCGAAGAAGACCAGATCTTCAGAAGAGGGCTCTTACTGCCCCAACCAAAGGCGAATTAGAGCGAGAGCAACGTCGTATATTTATATTTCGGGCGACCTTGGGGAGCGGTAAATCAGTTAGTGCACACAAAGTATAACTGGCCAATAGGAAAAGAGCGCGGTCTTTTTGGATTGAGGTGCAACATGGCGGAAAAGGCGCGAAATTTAAAAATTAAAAATTAAAAAAAAAATAACTTGGGTACTAACTCAAAAATAAGCCGTTTTGTGGGTATCGACATCCTCAACAGATGCCTGAACTGCGTCGAAAGTACAAGGATAAATATCTGAGCAGGTCGTGAAACCCTGAGCCGAAATATCAGGGACAGTTTCGAATCAGTGTCCTGTTGGTTAGGTGGGTGAACTTTGTCCAATGAGCCATCTAGATTACGAGATTGAACTAAGCGTAGTTTTCTTTAATGATTGTGTATGCATGATGCAAGATTTTCACTGGTAAGTTTCCACCTCCAGCAGAAACACCTCGACGTGTTCCCACAAAATCTGTGCATTTCGAACGGAAGGCCATATCGCCGAAACAACCCACAAGCGAAGAATCCACAATGTCGATTGGTCTCGTCCCGCTTGGTCGCTACCAGTATTCAGCAGTGCCACCTCAAACAAAGGAGTCCACTGTGCCTAGCCAGGTAACTTGATTTTTGACAGTCTGGCAAAATTTTGAAGGCGTAAAATAACCGTGAATTTGTTTTCCTTGATTGGAACACCATTTATTTTTTTGTCGACCCAAAATTGTACTGCAGTTAAAATAGTCGTGGCTTGGAATCTCCCTGAGAGTTCGTGATATGCACACTACTCGTGATCTCTAACAAGGAATTACAACGTAGACGAACCCAACTGATTGATTACTTTCTAAATTTCCAAAAACTCATTAAAACATCACTATTCTTTGCTGTTCTATGGGCTCATCAACTGCGCGTCAGCACCAGATTTCCGCCAAATTTGTCCTCTACCTGAGCAGAAAACTATACGAAACTGGTGAGATGCACTCATTTGAAAACTAACATAGCGTTAATGAAAAGTGTGACTGAATCTCGCGTTTGTTTTGCTCTTAAGCCGTATCTTCTGCACCAATACCTCCTCATGTACCAATCGGTAGCAAGGTGTCAAATAGCTTTCAACCAACTTGTGAGTAGTATTTTATGTCATGCAACTATACAGCAATATCTCGGTACGGTCAATTGCAGAATATCATAAACGGGGGATCGCGATGAACTTTTCGTTAAAAGATATCATTTGCAAATAAGTGCAGTTCGACAATGGCTGCAGGTAATTTTAAAAACGTTTTACCGCGATTAGATAGTTCAGTGGTTGGAGCACGAAACTACTCACCGGAAGATCGTGGTTCAAACCCGAGCTCTGACTCTCGGCCTACCCTGTTTAGGCTTGGGCAACCTGGAAGTATCCCACCACTCGTGCTTCCTTTGGGGGACATGGCAGCTTGACACCGAAAGGGTGCTACAGTTGAGCGCTTACCATCGGTTCAGCCGCTGAGATCTGTACGGATTCCGAGCTCAGATGCGGAGGCAGGTGAATGCAAACTTCATACAGGATTGCACACTAGGGCGCAAGTGCTTATCGGCTTCCGTCACAGATAATTTCCACTAGAATATGCGATTAAAACATTGGATAGCATTATTGGTGGGAACGGATGCAAGGCTGTCTAACCAATGTGTCAAATGAATAATGTTCAATTCTTCTGGCCAGTTGCTTTGGGCTTGAAGAGTTACTAAAAACACACTCGGTTCACTGTTCTGTCATTTTGAACCAGGGAAACTGGGGTCATATTGGCACATGAGACAACACGTTAACTCATGCACACCCGCCGATAGCTCTGCCAATTACACGGTGGTGAACCGTTCCAGTGCGTTACAGATTGCACGATGATGTCACCCCTGTTGTTGATAAAAGGCTAGAAGTGAGAATGCCCAGTATCAGAGAATAATGCGGACATCTACTGCACTTTCTGTCCCACAGGGGCCTCAGCATGTAGGTGCGGTAACACTAAGTTGGGTTTTCTTCAATAAAAACGGCGGTAATTTTACTTGTAGATTTGTTCATGCCACATGCTGTTGAACTTGTCAGCGAAGCAGTTGACGAACCGGAGAGATTAAATTGGCAGTGAGTCGAAATAGTGTTGGCTCGAGTGAGTTTCCTGGCGGTTATTGATCTTCCCGCCAGTGATGTACACAGTGGCGGAGTCTCCTTGATTGGTGATGAAAATTTAGCAAACCCACCAAGCACGGCGTGCCATATTATCAGGAAGGGAAGGTGAACGAATAGCCATATGTTTGCACTGAGTGGACGTTTGTTTTAGACAGCTGTTGCACCCATCTAAACCTCAGCTCCATTCCTACTTCTTCCACCCATTTGGCCAACAAGCATGCCTTTTCAGACGATCCACAGATCCGTACACAAAATGTTCAAACGTGTGCGTTGGATGTGAGTGTTCTAAAAATTGTTGATATAATTCATTGGTTTTGCTTTCACGTTATTTGTGCTTCACTTGACGTTGTTCTATCCAGTTTTTCATCCAGGCAATTCAGGATTGTATTGGTAAATTATCGGTATTTCTGTGAATAAAGCCACGAGACATTCTTGTTTTCATCTGCAACGATTCCTGTTGCGGATACTCCCTGATTCGGGTCAGATGCGTGGATGCCCTTGTGACATGGCGCTTTCAATCTGAAGCTGTCTCTGGCAGAAACTGAGAAAACTCATTTTTCATAGGACTTTGCCGAAAACCATCTACAGAGTGGTGGTGGCTCCTTCAGTTGCTTGTATTATCGCGTGTTGTTCGTCTGTGTTTGGTTTGATCACAGTCACTCATAACTCCACCGCGTATCGTCATCTGCTCTCCAGTGGAAGTCTAACCACCAGACTACTCAACTTCTCGCAAGTAGTTAAAATAATGGACACAATAAATGGCGCTCAATGTGAATAACTGATGCACAGAAACACATCTTTGTGCGGTACCATTTGTAGGTGTCAGAATTCATCGAAAAAGGTGTATAAGCACGATCAAATGCGGTCGTCTCCGACGGCAAATAATGTTAGCACTGTTAAGTACTGCCCTTATGTACCGATGACTGTAAGATTTAAGATGCCTATGAGGTTTTGCAATGACAAATGGCAAACCTTCGACAATTTTATTGGAATTAGCCAAGGCCATACGCGAAACTAGGAGTGGACGTCTCATGCCGGGTATCGGAATGGCACTGTGATTCTTGCGGCTAGGACTGCCGGAAACGGTGGAGCATTCGAGAGGTGCGGAAATAAATTCTGCAGTTAGTGCAACTAAGTGACAAAAAGGGTAGAATTATTGATTTTTTCGCGCAAAATACGCAAAACCAAGGATTCTTTAAAAATTCCATCCATGCTCCCCCGGTCACCAGCAACTGTGTCATCCTCGTGGTCTGCTTTTGCACATTCGCAGAATAGTCTTCAAGATCACCAGACGTTTGTTGAAAGCTGAAGTAAAGATGATAATTCTATGAGATGTGCACATCTGTTTCAGCAGTCCGAGACCAAGAATGTGCACACTGCTCCAGAAGTCTCTTCCAAATGTGCTCAGACTGATATTCCTAGTGTGCATGCGGTACAGACCAGCACGCCGACAAAGACGGTAGGTATCAAGACCTGAACGACTTTTGTTCTCCCGTTCTGTTTTTGTTTAACCAATGTTAGCTGCATGTTCCATCTGAGAATGTGGTCAAAGGTCGTCGCTGATTTTCCATTCCAGGTCCCGGATCCGTTCCACGTAGATCCAAAATTCGTGTTTGAGAGTGGCACTGGATTGGAGTATGAATCGCGTTTCCCCCCAAAACCCGTGCAACCCCCTCCTCCAGCTCCACAACCTCTTAGCAGGCGAGAGGAAGATGTTTTTACACGAATAATTCTCCAGCTCGCTAGCCAAATTGAGAAGCCCACACCTACAACCTACACAGCCAGACCACCTGTGTGTAAGTTTGCATTTTTCACCTGAACGGATAAACAGGGGCTCTGAAAATGAAAATCTGCGGCTCTGTCAAAGATGTTGCAACCGCAAGAGATATCCCAACAAATGAGATGCGGCTCACTAAATCCTACTAAATTTCAATAATTTCTGCTCCAACCTAAAATGCTCTATGAACGCACTTTTTCTCGAAATAGCTTGTCACGGCAGACTGGGGAAAATGGGTGGAGTGGCTAATATGGCACATGAAGCAGGATTTAATAGGTACCATCATTTTCTCTCTCAATAATGTAATGTGAGTCGTGACCTTTCTTGTAACCTTATAATGTGCACATCGTATCCGATCGACTTCGTTTGAACCGGACCCCCTCTTCGACTGCGGTTTTGCTGTCATACATTTAACTCCGGAGTGGAAACATTTACACTATGCAGTCCTGCTCACTTTGTGCAAACTGAGAATGGACCATGAACACAGCTAGCAAAACTGGCCGAGTCTGTGAAACGTGAATGGTTCAATGTGATTTCATGTTACGCCACTGAATATATCCGTGATTCGAGCTCACTCTTAATGGGGAAATGAAGAGTTTTTGCGTACCAACCAAACCTTTGGGAATGCAACCTAGTGCACATGGATTCTCTGCGACGCTCTGAGTGTCATCTAATCAGGCGGCTGAATATAATCATTGTAGTCATGAGAACGAAGAAGGTAGATATCCGGCAGACTGCCTAATTGTTCGTTGGGTTGGGCAGTTTCGTTGTAAACGTTTTTCCACCAATAGGCGTATCCGACTGACGCAGTGTCCCCGTTTGGTGATACTTTTTCTTTCCACATGTTTCCCAAATCCATACCACTCGTCGTATTTACGCAGTATGTGGCTGTAGGGCCTTAATCCTTCAAAGGAATCCGGTCTATACTGAAGGACAGAGCAGCACTTTACGGCCGTTTCATCTTTGCTCTGAAATATCCGCGCATCTGATTAGTCCCAAAAACTACCCCACCGCTCCTGAATAGTGCTAGAAAAGACAGTCCAACTGTTTCAACAGCGGTGTCTCGAACACCGGTATCATCTTCCACCGTGCCCGAGACTATGTTGGACTACGCTAGGGTATACTCAGCTAGATCGAGGCCTGCATGCAGCTATCATAAGATCTGGAGCTACATCATCGCTCAGCTGATATTCAGCAGGCTGAAGCTGGCACCGTAGGCATACCAAGTTTTTGGGCTCGTAAAAAAATGGGCACAACACTACGGTTTAAGCACGCATTAGTTGCATTTTTTGCCAGCTTATCTATTAGCAATCTAATACCCCAGAACCTTAGGTTTGGTTTCCATACACCGGTATTCCTTTGTACGAAACGGGCTTATATGTATATATATATATATATATCCCAANGTCGTTTTGAAGATATCAGTCTATAACCCACACTCCTGAAAAATGAGCTTTCATGGAACTAGTAATTCCACGGAAATGAATCCTTTCATAGGATAGCTTACCCCTTGCCATCTTGGGTGTTATTCCCTTGCTCTGGACACCCATATTCAACATCCACATAGACGATTAGGAATTTAAAAAGAATTTATTCGAATTTTTGTCTATGACTGTCTGATAACGCTCTGATAGTAAAACTTGTTGCAATCAAATACATTAAGTGGTAACTTTCGTTTTGATCATGTCCAATCCAACCGACTGACCAATCATTGATTAAGACAGGATTCAAGTATGTTTGCGTGCGAGACTACTTTTCGGAGGACGAAACAACTTTCGCGATAGGCAATCCACTCCTCTTTAGAACTGTCCCGTTTATATCGTTTGTGGGGATCGAAGTCAAGTGTACTCAAATGTCTCATTCATTTCCGATAACCTTGTACGTAAGTAGATATTCTTTGGTATTAAGTCAATTGATCCCCGGAGCAGAATCGGCCAACCTCACGAATGTCTCAATCTGTACCTATCGGCTCTTGATTGGCGGCTCCGAGTTTACCTGAGACGGAAGTCCAGCCCTTTACTGTGTGCGGAAATTTTTGGATAAATTAGGGATCAAGATGCTGAACGTTTGACTTGCCCGTACAGAATCGAATTTTCCGATACACTTCTCGTTTGATTTCGTTCATCATTAGCGATCCTTTTTAACAAAGCGCACATCTTTTCTAATTAGTACCGCCATCAGAACAGCAGCTCCGTCAAATGGTCGAAACGGCATTACTGGAGCATATCGATCCAATGCTACAACCGATTTCCTCAGTTCGCAGTCCAGTCCCATCGTCCAGTCTAACACCCGCACCCTCGCTGAGACCGACAAAATCGACCGAATCGGAAGCAGAAGTTGGACAAACAAGACTCTCGAGCCCAGGTCAACAACCGACTGGTCCACATCCGCTCCGTGTCACATATGACGTAGCAGTCGGACCGTCGGTGAGTTCATCCAACAATGTTATTTATTACTGTTAAAAGTCACAGTTCACCGGCTGCTGATAGTCGAACGATACAGTGTGGATTAATAGAAATCTGTAGTATGATACTTTCATGAGTTGACAACGTTAGTACACCACACTGAGCATCTGTGATGTGAAGTCGTTGAAAAGGAAACACTGCATCATATATCATCTTAGATCAATAACTAAGATCGCAACACATGCTTAGGTCGTTATTCTCATTAGGTACTCCCCTGAGACTGCCTGCCCTCGTTCTGCACCTCGTCCACAATATCTTGCCAGCTCTGTAAGACCTTTTGCATTTCTGCATCCAGCCAACAGGATGTACACCATAGTTGTGTGCATCTGGTCACGTGCTACCCCGAGTTTAAGGACTTCCGCTGAGAAGTTCTCAATCTCTGGAACTTATGTTTTTGCCTGACAGCATTCGGCCCAAAATGATACACAAGATTTGAAAATTAGGGGCCTTAACGGAAACTTATACTTTAAAACCGTACGAAAACCAGCGGTTGGAACCAATATGGAGCGACTCACCCCTGTATCCGTGTTGGCTGGAGATATGCAACTCGATTTTTCATCCCAACCGGAAAAAAGCATCCATCCAAGCAGTACGACAAACGATGCTTCGTCATGGGTTGTATTTCGCTTTGCTCCCGTTCTGGCGTAATTATTCCGGTGAGTCCACACACCAAAAAGAAGCACTGGACTCGAGTCTCGCTCTTGTTAGAGCTCATCAGCAGTGCATATCCAATCGCCGTGCCGAGATTTGAACCTCAAACATCTGACATGCGAGGCGAGCGTGTAACTACTACTCCACCAACGCACGTTGGACAAATCTGAATTTTCACGTCTGAACAGGTTTTAACTTAATGTATCATTTACCTGACGAAGAGCCCATAACCAGTTTCAGCAGTTTGTAACCACATGCCTTAGTCTAGAGGTCAGCTTGCTTAAATGCAGTTGATCACCAGGACTGTCATGTGACAATGTCACTTCAAACTTTTTATAGCCCCTATTTCCAACTGTTATTATCACCACTGCCTATCGAGGACAATATTTCTGGACACTAGTCCCATTTCCTCGTGGTAGTTTAGCAAAGTCTGTATTCCCCTTCAGATTCAGGAGCAACTGGCTGAGGAAGACCGAATGCAAGGAGTAAGCACGCTGCACGATATCGACGATGTCTCTTCTCACAATGGGATTCCTACCCCGACGCCGACAATGCCAGAGCAGTCAGGTGGAACATTAACAAAAGCATCTGACCGTGTTCGGTAAGTCTGGATCACTTTCACCTGACAATGTCAGCTTGCAAGCATAACTGATTCCGCAGCTGAGGCAATTCTATCCTCATAAATCGGTTAATGACGGTCCTGACTCTACTCACATATGATATATTGGCCGGCAAATGCACTCCTAACTAGTCAACAGTGTTTTGCAGAAACAGCACGGGTCCGAGACAAGCTGCTGTCGAACATTAGCACAACTGTACGGCATCTTTTAACGTATCTTTGTCATGTAATTGAGGCCAACTTAAAACTCGGGAAGCACTGTTGACCTCTGTTGAAATTCACTTTGCAGAAACAGCATGGGTCCGAGGCAAACTGATGTCGAATATTGGCACAACTGTACGGCATGTTTTAGCGTAGTTTTGTAATGTAATTGAAGCCAACTGAAAACTCAGGAAGCACTGTTGACCTCTGTTGAAATTCATCAGCAGTGCGCTTCTCACGAAATTCCAGGACGAACTTGCAACCTCCCGACTAGTAGTTTGGACACTTCACCGTTCGATCACAAACGGCTGATCAGTAGTCTGATTAACTCACACTTTGGCAGGATTTAGCGCCATTTATCCTTTAAAAATGAGATCCATATCACGTGGCCATTCGTGTTGATTAGCTGCTCACGTGACTACTTCTCAGATGGAGGTTCCACTCATCAGATGAAATTTATCGTTCATCTGAGCTCCTTACAGATTACTGGTAGGGCGACGAGATTCAGTACTTTTTAATCAGCTGTCTTTAGTCCAACTGTCCATAATGCATCCTACATATAGTGCCATATATATTCTGTACTGATTCCATATAGCACATCCTATTCTAATACTGGTGAAAGGAACAAGGCCTCTGCTGCTGAGTTATTTAATAGGAAATGCCAACTGACCAGTTACAGACTATTGGGCAGGGAAGCAAAGCTCTCATGGGCATCTTGTCTACAGAAACTGAATATCCGTTTCCTCTTTGAACGGGTCCTTCTGAACTTTGCTGGCTATTCGTTAACTGTTGCTCGAATCTAAGCAAATGCTACAAAGCGACTCCACAAATTCCGCAATAGATCTTCCATTTCAAGAGTGAATTTAAGAGTTGAAAGCATACTACTCGCATGCCTCCCCCATCAGTAGTATCACCGTTACACTGGTAAGTAGTCGATATAAACCGTCAGTAGCCCTCCTGTTTTTATGTCGCAAGCACCATTGTAATCAACAATTCATCACTTAAATGGCTCTTATTCTCTACCTCGTTAACCTAACACACTGTTAATTTGTTGACCATTGCAAATTGACGGTAGTTCAGAATTTGACTCAGCTGAGAGCGTTATCACCATCATCGTCATCGTCATCGTCATCATCATCATCACCATCATCATCATCGCTACCAGCTGTAAGAACCGCGTATCTGTCGTACAATAGTTGTAGCTGCCACAATTTTGTCCATCGATAGTTAGGGGAGGTGGGGTAGGTAGCTGCGCATAGGTGGGGGGAGCTGATAAATGGATGCGTAAATTCAACTTTGTCAGTGGACCTTCGCGTGGGGAGATTGAGAAGGGATCTATACATTGAAGGCAATAGCTTGGATGTACCAGCGCCATTGAGGACGTGACTGTTTCGTGTCTGACAATGTCTCCAACCATCAATGTGGTTCGTCTCGGGACCCCATCCGGGAAGACGACAATGACAGCGCAGTTGATTATGCCGGCAATGGCTTCACACATCACTGCCGAGTCATTGCTTGACCTCCCCTGGTTCGGTTCCACCCTTCGCGTGGTTCTGCAAAGGGAACCCTTCAAGAAGTCGGTGGACTGGCATGCGGAGCACGTGGCCGAGCCAGCACAACTTATGCATGAATAACCACACGAGTTTGCTGTTTTCCCAATCGGCCAATCTAACTTCTTGGTGTGATGCTGTTTATGAGTAGTATTGCGTGTGAAATTATTTGTAGCACAGCTTAGCTGGTTATCTGAGCTTTTCTCCTTCCCGTTCGGATATTCAGAACCGAGAGGATTTGTGGTGTGTGGCTTATTGAGTATTAGGTCCGCGTTTCGACCTGATTAGGTAAAGGGGTGTCCAGTGTGCACAACATTTTGATGGTTACGAATAACCTTGCTGGCTGATTGCATTTGTTTCAACTTATTGAGGTACTACCCATATCTGGTGGTCTGAGAAAGCACATGTATCAGAGGAGCTTTAAGGAATTTCAATTGGAAAATTCATTCTGTAAACGAGGTCAATCTATGCTGAAAAGGTGAGAAGTACTGCATACTTGTCTGATCCCTATAGAGTTCTGAAATGGCAACCACCCGGCTGGTAGTTTGCACACAAATCCGGACGGTCAAGTAAACGAAACTGACAACCCTTTTTCGAGTTTTGTTTTAGTTTTTTGATGGACACCTGTTATCGTCTGGTATTGAATGGCTCACGCAGTGATTTGTGATGGGGTGAAGCATTAGACCAAACGCTCCGTTATTCAGTTGTGAATCAGAATTGTCTGTCGCATAGAAGCAACATCAGCGGACGCTTGTGAATGCATATACGTGTATCAAAAGATGGTCAGCGTTATCCTGGTTGACGAAATTCCACACCTCAAGTAGATGCTTCATGATTGACCTCAAACATCTCACCTCTATCCCAAGCAGACTTGTGACCCCGAGCAATTCAGAACGGTGTGAGATTACTTTGAAATGCGTGGTTTTCGTCAACCTTATGATGACGAAAGCAGGTGTCATAAAAATTTCGTTTCTGGTTCTGTATAGTATAGGTATCAGACCACATGCAGAATACCCTCTGACGAGTGTGCCAGGTCAGGGAACGTGTGTATAAGGCAGGTTTGAAAAGCAAAGAGCACTCTCTCTTGAAAATCACAACCAAGTAGGTGAAAACACATGTTTTAAGCGTTCTGCGGTGCACATTTCTTTGTTCTCTGGGATGTTACAAGGGTCTGGTTCATTTATCGACAACTCCCCTCAACACATCAACTGATGAAGTGATTACATACATGACTGTTTCTTGTGGCATGTCTGTTTTTTAGTGACAGATAATTCGTAAAAAATCCTCGGAATATTTTCCCGAAATGAGCTGCATAAAATTGCGACTCAAAGCATGCAACAGTGCTATTTCGACCAGTCCGGAGGCAGGGCAGTGTCGCGTATCATCAATTGGGCGATCCTTCTGTTGTACGGTTTCTATGTTGTGTCTTGCTGAACGGTGGTGCAACTCTGCCTCGGTCCCTTGACTTCCTGCTTCGCCCACTATGGTATATCAGAAGGCACGGTAGCTCTATACAGCCCTTAATGGAGACAAAGGAAAATCATTACAACTGTATTTATAGGGTAGTCACAGAGTGTTCCACAAGGTCGTACCAGAATCTCCGTGTGGGGGCGAGAACCATCGAGTTAAAGATGCTCGACTTGGATTGGCTGGCATTCTACCCAATAAGTACGTGCCTTCGTTTGGTCCGTGTCCTGCACGTGACACATCCGTCCAAATGATGTGATGTTCGGTTATTAGGGACGGCTGGCCTCCGGACAGTTCATCTTCTTTGCCGGTTTGCGTTTTCTCTCACTCTTGACTAATCTCCGCTGTTGTCCAAATTCTCTTACTAGCGCCAGACCGGAAGTCCATTCGGTCCAGACATCACCCATCCACTTACCTCCAGCTAGTCAGTCCTCATCCCCGTTGCAGTCGGCATCGACTGAGTCACTGGACATTACTCCGCTCGCAGCTGATTTGCCACAGATTCAATCACAGGCGGAAAGCACAGGACAAAGTGAGGTGTTCAGTCTGACCCTACCAAACACGTTTAGCGATGGTGTTTGGCTTGTCGACCGTTCGGAAGGTGAGGCTCCTCTCCAGGTCACGAGTGAAGCAATGCAAATGTTGGCCGGACGTTTGGAGAGCAATCTGTTTATGCAACGATCACGGGTATGTATTTTACTGCACCATCAATCATTCACTTTGCGAGAACCCCATACAGGAATGACTATATTACTCTAATCGGTCCGTTTTCTTTCGGTTCGCCTCATCATAGGACTAAAAATTTACTTTGATTGTGCGACAAGCATCCTTTGATTTACAAAAGAATATCAAACAGTCTGAGCTATTCTGTGTAGTATGAAATCCCTCATTCGTAGTTGAACTTCTCTATGGCTTGTTTATTATAGCCCTTTTAACATGTGTTTAGACCGGATGTGATCATCCCAGGTGAATCGATGCGAAAGACTACATTTCATGGCACTCTAAGGGTGGGCTTATTCGATGTGTTGGAGAACCCCACCCTTACGACTTTCCATGTGCTCCACTTTTTGTTTCAATTTCGGGAACTCTGCTCAAACAAATCCAATCTGTTTTGGTCTCATTTCGCAAAAATCAAACGACTAATGGGAAGTAGTACGGTCTGATTTTGCAGGTTAATACGATAGATAGCACAATGACCGCAGCAACAGCAAGTCAACCTCCCTTATCTTTGAGAATTTCACGAGTTTTTTTTCAACACACTCAGTGATTCCAGTTACTAGAACGATGCAGACTCCACTTAATGTAAGATCGCTTCGGTGTGTTGTTTTCATCAACTGTTTTTACCAACTGTTTGCTGTTCAATCCCAGATGACTTTAGCGATTCGGCATTATTTTGATCCCTGAACTATGATCGTTCTCACGGTATTTCTTGATTTCATCGCTGAAGTGCTGTAGACAGGCCGATGCGTGTGAGTGTCTTGACTTGGTGTCTAGAAATATTCCGTGCTGTTGTGATTTTTGTTAGCAGTTTACCAATGCAATGTCCCAACATCACGGAGCAGTAACCACGGTATCCTAAAAAGGCCAGGTATGTATGAACGTATGTCCGATTCGGTAAACCGTGAACCGGGTGTACTTTGGTTCCGCATGCTACCGTTTAGTTCACTGCAAAAAGGAGCGTGGGATAGAAGATGGCAGTTTGTATTAAAACAACAAGGTCTCAAAAGAGTTTTAAAGCCGTCGGTGTCAGTAGGACATCACTGTCTCTGGCGTAGTGGCTCCAGCAACTTAACTTATCCAGTCTAATCAACCGATAACCAGCAGGGCCGTCGTAGATTGCATTCAATCGGTTCAGCTGGTGATCACTCGATGAGACGTGTCGCTGAAGAGTAGGAAGGTGCTAGCACCGGCTTCTTTTCAATCTTATATCACACCGTCTTCCAACATAAAACCAATCGTCCCATTGGTTTCATTCACTTCGCAACATTGACTGTCCGTGCCAACAGTATTCCTGTTTTATAGTTTCACATGTCTTGTCTTCCTTCTCGTGAAATGCGAAATATGGCCTCGAACCTGTTACATAATCTATTCAGATGAGTCAAGTCAAGGATTTTGTCTGTTTTTCACGTCCAGTCACTTGCAAGTGAAACCGAACCTGAGTCAGACACATCAGCTTTACTCAGGCACCAAAGAAGCGACGGTGAAATTCCGACAAGCGGGCCTCTGCCGAAGAGGGGGCTGAGAAGTGGTGATCCGCTAACCAACCCCTTGTTACACCTAATGGCTTTGCAACAGTCTAGCGGCTTTGATATATCAAAGCTATCCGAACGGGATAGAAAGGTAGTGATGAAAACGAATGCTGTCATGAAACGCCAAGGAAAAAAGCCACGCACAGCTCAGTCTCCTGAGAATTCATATGGCCAAGCTTCAATTCAACCAGCAGAGAGCTCACCTGGACTTGTAAAGCCGGTCACCATGATTGATGCATCAGAAGGCGACGACGGTGGAGAGTCAAAAATGCTGGAATGGTTGCAAAGTTTGGCTGGATCTCCGGCACATCGTACGGTACAGTCTTCACACAAATCACCTCCATCAAGTGAGTTCGATCTGAGAGGGAACCTCACTGTATCCGTTGTGTACTCCATGACGTATCCCGAAGACCTTTTTGCCCAATCGACTGTCCTGGCAGTTGGGCTAACTGCGTGAACTTATTACTTGCTTTTTCTACCCAGTGACACATTACTCCACGGTAAATATCTTATGAGTAGTGTATTACGTCTAGACGTGAAACATGAGGCGGTCTGGTGCGGCACATTCAGTTGCTTAGAAGCACCATAAACGAGAGATTTAGTTGGGTTTCAGGTGAGTCTCCCGCAAAACGAAAGTGGTTTGCAAATGAGCGTATTTTGCTAATTTCGTCCGCGCCTACCTTATGAGCTTCAAGGAGGGCGAAACCGGTCGTGGGCTATCGAAGAATTGCCAGCAACCGCCTGAGAAGTGTATTCACCTTCAACTGTTTTGAAGTGTGTGTGCTTATCCGTAAATCACCTAACTCTACGTATTCAGCATCATGCCCCACTCCTTTGTGACAGTTTTCACATATTTTGTAGCATAAATCATGGAATGTGGCGTGAGTTTTTACTTCAATAATTCCACACTACTTTAATTTGTAGATTTACGTGAAAAAAATTCATGCCTCCTCTGTTTCAGTTCTCAGCTGAACACAGTTTCTGATCAAATCAAGCGAGGTAGTGAATCCAAAAGAAACCACTCCTGAGGTTTAGAAATTAGAATTCAAAATTATTAGCTTGAGAAAAAATCATTTACATCACTTTAATTTCCTGATCCCAACATAATTCTTCGAAACTTTATAACTATAGAACCATCTACGAATAGAACCGATCCGAACAAAGTCTCGATGCTCAATGGGGTCGAAATGGTTCAGTCCGATGACTCAGATGCTACAGAAGCTGATGTGGCCGAAGAGGAGGCATACGAAGATGATTACGAACCAGAATCGAAAGGAAACTGTAGCAGTCCGAAGTCCCATAAATCTGCGGATGGGCCCAAAGATCGGCCTCTGACAAGTGGAAGTTCGCCACCGGTTTGGGCGCGTGAGAAAGTCCCAGACCACATGCGTCATGCAGTAACTTTGAGTGACGATAGTGATGACGCAAACTAGTGCCTATCCAAGTTTTAACCGACCATTCAGAGGTGACTTGACCTTTTGTTGTAACTGTATTGTCATGAAAATAAATTCTCTTCATGTTTTTGATCCGTACGCTTCATTTTCCATTTGAATATCCACACGCTAAGGGGAAATTTTTGTGGCTGCTTCGGTGTGTCAGAGAGTTGCGTGTGTGTGTGTCCGTTCGTCGTTCCACCATCGATCTGGCGTGTGACTTGAGTGGCTGATTGGGTGCGTGTCCGATTGATTTGTTCGCATGACTGGGTTGTGGGGTGACTGGACGTATGACTCAGCTGTTTGCTTACGCACCACGAAAGCGGACCAGTTGACTACCTGTACACAATAAACTCGTGTCTTTACTTACATGTTTTCTGACTCACTCTTTATCCCTAAAAAGTAAAGCAGCCACAACTCTGCTCAACCATCTCCTTGAATTTGAGAAATCTGGTGACCCTCTAAAAGGACTTCCAATAAGGTTTCTAACATTTCATGAATTGGTCTGTGACTCACGTGACGATATGATCCCCAATATGGTCATGTAATCTGAGTGACAGCATCTTCTATTCGACTGACGAATTTGTTTTTTTTTGCCGTCACTTATTTGGAACATTTCGATCCCTATCAGAAGTTTGAACTAATCAACTTTCTCAATTAGCATACCCCAACCTTAGCTACGTAACTGACACCATGTTCCTGATTCCAGTTCGTCAGATTCTGTAATTCGAAGGCTTGAGCTGGATTATCCTCAATTAAATGCATAAATCCTGTGTTTTTGAACTCAGTGTCATTCATTTCATTCCAAGATTATGTTCAAAACCTCTCGGTTTTCTGAAGTTGCCACCATGGTCACATGAAAGGCTACTGCATCAGAGATTGTTTGTCAACTTCTGTTACCCATTTTCGTTAGCAAGTGCACACTACTGAGGGTTCTAAATAACGTCGAAGCATACGTGCAATGTCCCTTGGCTTTCACGTATGGGTTAGAACCACTGACAAGATCGAGTTTCAGTCTAAAAAGTCTCTTTATTTCCATAGCTTTCCCAGACTATGTGCTTCTATATCTAGTTAACACTTTCCCACCAAATTTGGGACACACCCTTTGCTATTTTTTAGTATAATTGCGGAGAATACTGGATTAATTTTTTTTACTGTCATTGTGCATATTAAACATTGTTTTTATCTGCAAAAATTTTCTAATCAATTGGATAAATCTTCGGCACCTTCCGGCTCCCTCGATACTTTGCCCTCGATTGCACAACTTCCCCTCTGAGGACCATTCAGACTGAGTTGACCGATTTTCAGATTACTTCACCATCCTTGAATTTCTGTTTCTACCATTCCCTATCTAGTTGTCCGAAATTCGCCAATCATATTTCGCACCATCATCATCACCTTGATCAGTGTCTTCGTCCACCGACCGCGTATAGATGTCGTGAGTATCGCTATCATACCAGTCCTCACCGCTAACCATTCGCTTCCACATCGATGCTCAACACCAAATAACGTTGCCTGCAACCCTAAGGTTTCAGGAGGCGATCTGACCTTTTAAATAGATTATCTACAAATCAGGGTTGCTTTTGCGGAATTTCACGTCTCGCAGGCGTCCTACGTCTCTGCTTTCAATAAAAAAACCAGAAGTAATTCCATCGGGTTCACAACATCTGAGGGCTCCATTTTGAAAGGTTCTGAGAATATATGAGAAAGCAGAGTTTTGTGACTCTACACACAGCAAATATCTCAACTTATATAGATTGCTACAGTAATGCATGGATGGCTCAGTTGGACAGGTTGTGCCCTTTAATCCGTTTTGCAAAACTCTAAACTTACACAATTGAAAGACTATGAACAACTCCACGCCAGCTACGTCAAACATGTATTTTCTTCCACACAAAAAGGACTCCTTATTGTAGCGACCCAGTCACACACATGCTTGGTTGTTCAGCTCACAGTCGCTCACTGGATCGCGAGGCTTGTCTTTTTTCTCATACGCACAAACACATCGCATTAAGCTGACTCATCGGACATCGATTGTCTGCACCGCCTAGTCAGCGTAGCAACCACTCACGTGCCGACGCGCCCACATACACGCACTGGGGCCTACATAAAGGGAAACCGAACCCAGGACGTCAACGGACAACCATGGTGTGCGTGTAGCAGTCGAACTGCGGAGAAAAACACGCTCCCGCCGACCGGACTTCCACCAAGGGACTCCCATATACGATAGGTTCCCTGTTGACTTGCTCCACATTTAATGGTGTGCTGCAGATCGTTTCTGTAAACTACTGTCAACCAAATTAAAGACAATTAAAAGTGCATGTATTTCCTGAGTTGTATTATGGCCATCCTCAGCTATGCACCAAAAGTACCACGTGAGAGAGATAGTGTCCTTAAGATGTCAGGCCAGCAGTACAATATGACCACCAGGAATGCAAGGCTAAGGAGAGACTGTACTAATAGACAACCAAACGCCCGACCTGGAGAAGAAATAGCTCTGTATGTGTGTGTATGGAGTCATTAACATGTAGGTCTTTGTACATCCACAACAACTAACAAGTTCATCAGCCGTTCACCTCACTGACTTGCATAGAGTCAATTAAGACGTCCTTTAATATCATCCACTTCCCAACTTAAGCTGCAAGTCGCCTATGGGTGAGGCCAGCAATATTTTTGTTACTCTGTGTCATGTGAGCACAATAATGTCATATGAGGCTCAGTCCTCTAAAGTGCATTCCGTTGTTTCAGAGATGGACGACGGTACATTGGAGTTGTCACTATCTTGTGTCTTTGTAAGCCTTAACTGAGGCCATAAAATGATGCCTTGTTTCGAGTTATTACACTGATCAAGATATCGACATCATCTTGCGCAGTTACTTGCTTCCACCAACTCTCGTCTTCTTCGTTCAATCATTCTATCGTTCTCCGTTTACATCTAACAACATTTGTTGTATTCCCTCTGAACTGGGTGCACATATGCCAACGGCTAATTGCCTGACTTCCAGACATTGCACTCCGCCGAGATGTGTTCACCACCTTCCCAAGACGTCTCGGTCCGAATATAGAAAATTGTTGATGCGTGCATTTCAGCCTTCTTCGCAGGTTTCTTGATTTCGCCTCCTATACGATGATGTGTGGTGCGTTAGCCTTAAAAACCAGTCGAATTCAAAGTCAGTTTTATCAAACGGTCAGCTGTGATTTTATCCTTTGATTGTTCTCCGCCCAAGAAGGCGGAACCAATGTCCTCTGTGATGAAACGGCTTTGCTATTGATCAAAGTTAAGCAAATTTACTGTTTTATCCCGGTTCTTCCTGAATATTGTAATCTCGCGTATTTTCCTCATCACTGACTGTTTTTTTCCCTGTCTTTAACGAGAATTTTTTTCTGGCTTTCGACCCGCCAATTATTACCCATATACAGCTATTCACATGAAACTTTTGTGCCTCAGTTCAGTAGAGACCGGGGAAAGCCCTCGTCAAAGTCTATTATACTTTTTCGCACTTATTTCAAGTTCACATCCAAGGAGCTGTACTACTTCATTCTCCGTATCAAAGTGCAAACAAAGTCATCGAGTTCTGATAATTGAGTCGAAAAGTGGAATTCGCAGTGGATACAGACAAGCCTGTTGCGGGAAGACAGAAAGCAGTCAGTAGTGTAACGGTGATACTACTAATGGGGGGCATGCTGGTAGAATGTGTTCTTCGTGGAGTTTCGCTTTGTGTCTCTTGAAAAGGAGAGATCTGTTGGGGAATTTGTGGAGCCGCTTTGTAACATTTGCTTGGAATTGAGCATTGAATGATTGGAGTCAATGAATATCCAGGATAGTTCAAGAAGTCGCGTTCAGGAGAAGATGGATGTGTAGCGACCCAGTCGCCCATATACTTGACTGTTCAACTCACAGTCGCTCACTGGATCGCGAGGCTTGTCTATTTTCTCATACGCACAAACACGTCGCATTAAGCTGACACATCGGACATGGATTGTCTGTACCGCCTAGTCAGCGTAACAACCACTCATGTGCCGACGCGCCCACATGCACGCACTGGGACCTACATAAAGGGAAACCGAACCCATGACGTCAACGGACAACCATGGTGTGCGTGTAGCAGTCGAACTGCGGAGAAAAACACGCTCCCGCCGACCGGACTTCCACCAAGGGACTCTCATATACGATAGGTTCCCTGTTGACTTGCTCCACATTTAATGGTGTGCTGCAGATCGTTTCTGTAAACTACTGTCAACCAAATTAAAGACATGCGAATGAGCGTTTTACTTCCCTGTCCAAAAGTCTGTAACCCGGCTGTTGGCATTTTCTAATAAATTGCTCCGCAGCAAAGGCCTTCTTCCTTTCAATAGCAGTGATAAGAATTATGTTGGTTGAGAAAAGACGAATGATATCATGCGAAGAATGGGATTCTCTAGGATCAATGGAGAAGGGATGAGCACTAAACCGAGAGTGACCGACTGGGAAGGTGAAAGAGACTGTGTTATGCTATGGGCGGAGAATGTTGACAGCTCAGGTTGTACGTATGGCTGTTGTTCTGTTTTCAGAGCTAAGCAACTCAAATGGCGAGGACGGATCATGTGATAAGAAGGGTAATCATGGGATAGAAAGACCTAGAGGGCATGCAGAATGAGTTGGAAAGGTCGGACTTAAAGCAAACAATCAGTCATCTAACAAACTTGACCGACTATCCAAACGGCCAATCATTGTGAGAGGCCGAGTCGACCAGACAAATATACGAACAAGCACATTACTACTCAACAATTAAACATCGACTCAATTCCAACTCATTACGCACCAAAGATGTCACCTCTGTCGGTAAGGAAACGTTTTCAGAAAAGTGTATAGCTCAGCGAACAACGAACAGAATGTCTTATTCTGACAGGAGAGACAGCAGTGTCCATGGTGGGCCTACAAACAACGGAACTATAGAAGGCGTCTCCCTCAGTCCAGAGCAGATATTTACAAGCTGGTAAGGCAACCTCTGATATGGACTCAGGTAGCTGAGTTAACCAAAATAAATCAGGCCTCAAAGTACTGATCTGCAGCCTCACAGAATCAAGGGCATCTCATCCTATTTATTTAAATTTTTTGGTGGATTCAACCATGAAACGTCAACTCAGATTTCCCAAAACATGTTTCCTACACGTATCTTGTTCGAGATAAGTTGTGAATCTGACTCAAGTGTTTGGCGCACACAGCCTCTTTTTCTTCGGCCTGTTTTACGTAACTTTGGTAGCAACCATGTGACTCTCTAGCAGACAGAGTTATCGGTTGAAATAGCTAAGTGAAGTACGGTACTCCCATCCTGCGGTCAGCTTGCATTCATGGAAGGGTTCCACCTTCAGGTTTATGTGTTTAGCAACAGGAATTTGTACGAAAAACGCACTGGAGTATATTTTCTTACGTGTTTCATCAGTGTCGTTACACTGGTTTCAGACGCGGAGGTTTATAGCAATCTAATCAAGCGAATTCACTAGTTAACTTCAATAAAAAGCGTGCTAACAAGCAGTTGTCCAGTTTTTCCACAACAATACTTCGCAACGTGAATGCCTTTACACTGCAATAACTTCCAAGAAGTCAACGTGTTCACAAACATATCTAACAGAAGATGGATTATTTCTAAAATGAAACAACCCACTTAGAACGCAAGGTTGACGGAAACTCGGGGACTGTGCCTGCCTGATGAGCCCCAAGAAGGGCGAAACCGGTCATGAGCTGTCGAAGAGTTTTCAGCAACCTTGTGAGTAGTTTCTTTTAGGAAAACCCTTGTTCCTTTATCGCTGTAAGCAATGGAGAATGCTTTTATGGAGTCCTGCATGAGATTTGCCTTTGGAAAAATTGATTCGAGGGAGTTTTGCAGAGATATTTGAACTTCGGGATTATCCTCGAATTGTATACTCCAGTTATGCTAGATCATGATGGACGAAACAGTGACAGAAACTCCACAATGAGGTCAAGTGAACCGAGAAAGACACGTAAAGTGCATAGCTCAAGTTGTTCACCCAGGAACTAATGATTGTAGGTTCGCTGGCCCATAAGTGTTACCCACGGAGAAATCAAAAGTACGGGTGACCAAATGAAAAACCGACAGATTTATTAGAAGAGCAAGTCAATGAGAGCACGTAAAGCAATCTGCTGCAAAGTGAAACGCAAGCCTGAAAGGACCAGGTCAGGAGGGCGTCATTTTTCACACTCTCTAACACAATCTTGCCTCTTGAAAAATCTATTCGCATTGCCTCCATATCCTCCGTAATCAAACGACACACACCGATATCCATCGAATCCGTACATTGGAATAGAAGCAGTCCCCCGGCCTCGGTCCAACGGTAGAGAGCATTTAGCTGAAATTGTGGTATGAGGGAAAACACCTCTGAATGACACCTTTATACTAGTCGGAAAACGACATATCGAGCCTGATTGCTTGATGAAATAGGGTAACATGGCTTTGGTGGTCAAAGATTCGTTGTCTGACTACTTTGGGTATCAACGTAGAAAAGGCTAAGATTGTTTTCTTAGATGAGTCTGAAAGTTCAAAGGAAAATGCTACCGTGATCCGATGTCAACTGCTAATACAAAGTTGCGACGTTCACTTGCCCACTGATGGCTAAACAAAGTGGTCATTTCCTCACCTTCTGAGGAGGTGCAAAAATTTGAAACCAGTAGATTCATCGGACAGAAATACAACCAGAAATTCGCTCTCATGTGTGTTCCAGTGATTGAATACTTTCATCGTAGAGTTTCAGATAACAAAATGGATGCACCTCAATGGAACTTAATAATCAGCCGTTGTCACAACCAAACCAACTAAGTGAAAGTTAGTATTATGAGAACACTTTGTTCGTCTGTTGGCTTCTACATTACTGTTGTCATGGGAGACAGCCAAATCAGGATCGATGAACAATATGCTAGATCGCCCTTAGACTGGTTACTGTTCTGTATCTCACATTGAGTTCTCACAGAAAAATACAAAAAAGAGTGCAGAATTATTCAGGAAAGTTCTAGCCAAACCCACTAAATTTATGGGATATTTTGTTACCGAACCGAGCTCCAAAGATCACAAAGATCTCCAAAGACCACATCCCTTCCAAACATGCAGCCCATTCCGGTTCTAAGAACGGATTTTACTCGCCAAGGTACTCACCAGGTGTAGTCGGTTTCGGCGTCACAAATGTCGAAGTTCCTCTCACCTGATTCACCGCTTTGCTCTCACATTCTCTCCAACATTCTGCTTCGGTGTAGAAGTTGTTGGCGTTTCCTCCAGCACCAGTGTAAGTGAACGGGACGCACCGTTGTCCATTAAACGCATACTTTCGATAGTATGCCGTTCCATAGCCGGAAACAATGGGTAGGGAGCATTTGTCTGGAAATACAAACAAATTAGATTGTGTCTTGTGCCGAACGACCCCCAAACAAAGATAGGTTTAGACGGGGTCGCCCCATTATTGGAGCCAGAAACTATCGCCGAATCGCCGTCACATTTGAATTCAAACTCCGACCATCTGATAATATTGGATGTGTGTACATTGATACTTCACCGGCTTCAACCAAACGGAACTGTGATCCCTTAATCTGCGGACGCAGAAATCCAGGTGTCTCGTAGTACAAGTCACAATTATCATATTGAAGAAACGTTAATTTCAACAAAATGTTCTAAGTACACAATAAATATGGGTGATCTATCTGAGGAAGGTCATGAGAACGATGCACTGTTGACCCTCTTCATCAAACATTTCCCGAGACTTTTCTGTTGTGGAAAATGTGTTGGCTTCTACCTGTGTTGCCTGGTTCAAACGAGTTGCCAGTCAATTTTCTCCATTCGGAACACCACAATGCTCGTAACTGTTGGGCAAAAATATCTAACTGAATTGAAATGGAGAGAAATCGTGGGACAGGCTACTAGGAGGAGCATGACATTTATTTGAATTCTTCGGAGAAATTTTCCAGTAGTTTCGCTAGATCGGCATTTCTATCATGCCTCACATTCCTCCTAAAACAGCGCGCGTGATCACACGGTCTGTTGTTTCGACATTTCAGTGCATATTGCACACCGATAGTCGAGTGTCGTCACATCGTTTAGACGCCAAAGATTTTCGAATCTAATCTTGTGGGATTGCTTTCGGTTCCGGATTTTAACAACTTGGGATCGCGCCGAAAGACAAACTCAGAAATACTCTGGAATATTTTTCTCATTGTGGCTCCAATTTGGGCCTGATCCCCTCAAGGTCTAACTTAACCCCTGTTTCGAAAGTAGTCTTTGGATACCGAGAAATTTGATGCCACCCCATCACGTTCAGTGGGATAATCACATCTAATCTGAGAGTTTCATGGGCCATGCACAGTCCCCATTCTACCATGGGGAGGCCTGCGTGCGGCACATTCAGTTGTAGAATACCATAAACGAGAGATTCAGTTGAGTATCTCGTGAAATCCAAATTGATTTGTAAATGAGTGTATTTCTCGAAAACAGTCCAATTTGGGTTCAAGTAGATCATGGGGTTGACGCAAACTCGGGGAATGCGCCTACCCGGTGAGTCCCAAGAAGAGCGAAACCGGTCGTGGGCTGTCGATGAGTTTTCAGCAACCTTGTGAGTAGTTTCGTTTATGTTCATAACCTCTTTAGTGACTGAAGCCGTCACGTAGCCAGAGCTGTGATCAACTTTCATCTACGATGACGGCGACCTTGATCGTTACATCCTGTGAAGCATAGAATCGATTCTTTCATGACTGGAGTGCGGTATCTCAAAACACGGTTTTAGAGACGATTTCAATTCATGAAACACAGGTGTTGGATGTAGTGTGGAATCAAAGTAATTCGACTGAAAAATACACTCACCAACCGTATTTGGTCTCGGCGCCGTAGGCAGTGTGGTTTGTGTGGCCACAGTCGCCACTTTGTCCTCACATTCTCTCCGACATTCTGCCTCGGTGTAGAAGTTGTTGGCGTTTCCTCCAGCACGCACCTAAGTGAACGGGACGCACCGTTGTCCATTAAACGCATACTTTCGATAGTATGCCGATCCATAGCCGGAAAGAATTGGTAGGGAGCATTTATCTGGAAATGAAATTGGAAACGTTTTGTTGTAAGGACTACGCGAACTTCCGTTTTAGCCTCGTAGGTAATCGTTTTACATATGCTAGACTTTACGTTGCGAAAAACTTCTGCCCTAATGTATTCTTTTTTCTTTTGAACAATAGTTTTTTTAGAGTAGATCCTTTATTGAGCAATGCGTTTTCTTGCTACACGTTATAATGAACTCAGTATCCCCATAAGGAATGTCATCTGTCGCTACAAACCCGATCGGCCAACAAATACTCGTTTCTTTGTACTTCGTATATGTTGAACATATCGCCTCCATTCGGATGCACTCAGTGATATTGATGGCTTTTTACAAGAGGCCAGAATTTCTTTTCTTTTCTCGATTTCCTCTTCTCGTCAACACAAATCGATAGACTTCAAAACTGACGCGTGAAATCCGTAAAAGTATTTCTACGGTTAGAATTGTGAAAAACTTTGAGGTTACAGTAGACTGACTTGAGTGGCCAGCTGTCACATTACCAGACAGTGGAGGACCCAATGCGCGTACGAAGGCTTTCTGAGTGCTCAGACCAGGATGGTGTGGGCGAATCACAGTCGACAGTCACAGGCTAGACATCGATATTGAGTGGAACTCGACAGACAGATACATGGCACAGAAATCGAAAGCAATTTAATTAATGAATCAGTCAGTTAAATTGATTGAATTAATGAATTTAATTTAATTAATCAATCAGCCTAGGGAGTGACCACGCCCAGTCTGGTTGCCATCCAAACTGGATCGTGTTCATTCATTTGCCTGAATGACTGCCTTGTAGTACGTGCTGTGTATTCAGTGTACATTAGCAGATGAACGACCATACTACCATGCTTTGGAAGGAGGAAGAGCCCCTTGTATGGGGGATGCGGGGAGGTCAGCTGAGTAGTGAAGTACACTTAATTTAGGCTCCCAAAGTATTGTGTGCCAGGCCCAAGTCGAATACACAGTGAGTTAGGATAAAATACAACTTAATCTCCTGCCTGATTTTATTGACTGGCAGTGGACAAATGGGCGTATAGCTAGAGTAAGTGGAACAGGGAAAGTTCGTGAACAGTGTGACTTGGTGAGTCAACCCGAATGTGATAGAAATGTTCTGAGGATACAATGCGACCTCAAAACCCTTGCACTCAACTGCTCACCGTCATTGCACAGGTCGGGGCTATGTCTGCTGCCCTTTAACCTTGAGTTATTGTGCACTCACTTGGATAGAAGTCCCAGGTCAATGGCTGAGCAACGAAGGAGGGGATAGTGAGAAATTTACCGGCAGTTCTCTGTTTACTAATCTGAATGAATGGCGGACACTTTCTCCCCCAAAATGCGTACCCTCAGATGAATCATTTCCGAACCGGGCTTTGAATGGAGCTCCAAAAGTATGTTTGTTGTGAAATTTCTCCGGGCAAACAAAAAGTAACCAAAAACCTCATGCTTGAAGCTGTCTACTCACCAACCATATCCGGTAACCTTGGTTGTCCCACTGCTGGTAGTGATTGCGAGAGCGCAACGACGGACACGCAGATTACAAGTTTAGCGTGATAGATTTGGCGACTCATTTTCAACCAGTTCAAGAAACTGCGGCCAACATCTACATTTATATGGTATTACAGAATCACATGTTATCGGCAAAGTACAGATTAGGCAAAGTTTCTAGAAAGCACACGTGATCTTGACTTTGGAGTCACACAGTATTCTTGCAAATCCGTCTCAAAGTACTTTTGTTATTTCACTAAACCTAGAAAAATATGCGGTCACTTTCCGGGACCCGTTGGCCGCACAATGCTCTTAGTTGCATTTAAACCTTTTGCGCCAGAATGTTGCATTTTGTTGCGTATGTGCTCACACCAAAAGCAATCCTAATCTACTCTCGTACCTTTGCAGCTCACGAAATTTTATTGTCCTCTGAGGTAATCTTATCCATGGCAAAAGATTTTGGTGGAATACTTTCCTAGCATTGCTGAGAATTCGATGTGTCTAGATGGGGCTCAAATATTTGGACTCTGAACTCAGTTGCCTGTCTTTTTTAGTCCAACAGGGACACGTCGTGGCTTTCGAAAATTCAACTCCACTGTGCGAATACTGAGCGCTTCACTTTCCAGCCGTGTGGCACACCTGCTTCATGGTTGTAGCCCCTGAATAAACACGTTGGTTTCATCTAAACGGAACAGTAGACAGATGGGTCCCATCATTCTTCTGACTTTATCAATGTGGCTTTAAAACCCAACTATGTACCACCCTGCCTTACAGTTCCTGCTAAACACGGGGGCTTGAGAAATTTAGGTTTCCGTTCTAAAGATGTCTGCCAATGTCCCCTGTGTCATCGACTGAGCTCAATCTGAACGGAAAGTTTTTATCTCGAATCATACAGTCAAAGGAGCTCATTACGGAAGTTTTCATGTGGTTCCGACTCGGTTACATCTCCGCGACCATTAGACTATCCGCTGAGGCCTATCGATCCTTGAGGTTGGTAAGACAATATCTGCTTAGAGCAGTAAAGCACTTCGATGGAAATCGATCAACCTTACCTTCCGTAAGTGATTCATGTGTTTAATTATCCAGTGATACTCAGCTCGAGAGGTGATCAAGTAACCAGTGTCCAGTTTATGAACAATGCAGCTTTGTTGAACTTTCACTTTAGCAAAATGTAAACAAGTCAGTAGTTGATAATTGATCAAATGGCTGTTGATCTCTTCGCCGAGCTTGGCAACTGATTTTCAAACATTTCGTCACCGTTTGAGGAGACATCTTCAGTGCGTTGGGTGGTTCATCTTTTCGTGCTTGCGTTTAAATGGTTTACAAAGAGCTGCCTTTGCGCTGTAACATCATTGGCCATTGGCAATCGTCCTACTTGGATTCTGATTGGTCCAACCTTAATCTGTGTTGCGTTGTGGCTTGCACTTCTTGCTTCCTACGGCCACAGTACTGTTGAAATTGCCGTCCATTATTGTCATTTTCGGTTGGCCCGTTCATGATCTGTATTGCGAAGTGGTCGGCTTCTCTGTTGGTCTCTCTCTGTGTACTTCACCTCAGAAGTGACGTGTTAATTTTTCACCGATTCCACCATATATTCCGATTTCATAATCAGTCGTTATGGTCGCAAACCGGACCCGGAAAATATAGATGCCATCAAACAAAAGTCTCCAAAGGAGGAGGTGACATCATCAAATCAGGAAATGGAGTCCTACTATAATCGCAAGCATGGTGCAAAGTGACGACATTTTGACGTCGGACAGAGTGTTTTAGTAAAAGACTATCATGGTACTCGCGAATCCTGGCTTCAAGGCGAAATCGCCAGGTGAATCAAAAAAGTCATGTATGATGTCCGCTTGGGTTCCGAAACGTGGATTCGTCATGCAAATCAGTTAACAGGAGCTTGTTTACAACCAACTCAGAGATTGAATGCGTTGCCTCTGAACATTAAGCTTGTTTACAACCGACTCAGAGCTTGAATGCGTTACCTCTGAACATTCTGATAGAACACCTGGACATGAACAGAGAAAGGACGACTAGCAATCAGGTTGCGGAGCAGCTCCCCGAATCGCCTGTGCATCAACAACCACGAAGGATGACACGCAAAATCATGCAAGTGACAAAGTTAAAGTTAACCTGAGACAGAAAACTTATACTATTCAACATCAAAGTGGAGGTGATAGGAGAACCAGCCCCAACGTAACAACTGCCGATAGAATAACCTTTCTCGTTGAGACAGATTTCATTGGTTGTTCTTCACTTGCCCTTGATAGATGATTTCTATTTTAAGTATCACGTTTTGGCCCGCCTAGAGCTTGCCATGTGAGCTTTACAAACAGCCCGTTTTCGGCTGCATATGACACGACCGTACGCGTCAGTGTTTAATAGACCAGCTGATTCGCACGTTCATTGACTTTTCTGGTTTGGCTAGGCGCACCAGGCTATCAAACGACTATCCACACTCGATTTCACGGCATTAAAAAAACTGTGGTCCACAACACCCTCCACCGTAAAACGTAGCGCTGTGATTTTCACTACAAACCTTACACATCCAATAAATCTGATCACCCAGGAAGGTGACATACTCAAAGTGGATCAGGTGCCTTTTTAGAGCATTGGTTAGCTTAAAAACTGTACGTATGCTGATCCCCACGAATTCTCTCCCTATTCACTGCTTTTTTAGAATTTTGTGCTTTCAGACGGTTGCCTGACTTGTGAAGTATCCAATACCCGATTCATCAAAAGCACCAAGTAGTTGTTTCGGATGCCGCATATCTTTCATAGTATTAATACCAACTCCTGCCGTTCTCGGTTGTTGGTCTGTTCGCCGAGCTTGGCAGTTGCATTTCAAACGTTTCATCACCAATCGAGTTGATATCGTGAGTGCGGTGGGTGAGTGGGCGAGTGAGGCACACGGTGAAACGCGTACAAACGTGCCTTAGGACGCCGTCGATTTTGAGGTGCAGACTGGAAGGCTGCATACAATATCGATAAATCTGATGGATTAATTGTAACTACTTATAATATTTCAGTAGCTGAAAAGGAACAAATTGATTTGAACATCCGCTGCTACATACGGTGTTGACTTTTCCATATTCTCACACCAGTAGGTTATCACATCGACATGATGCGGGATTCTTGGCTCGGTACTGAAGGTTTTCTGTGTGTTTTTTGGCTTCAAATCTGCCACTCTCCCTCTCATAAACCGGCAAGAATGCTTGGCGAAATGAAAGCGGTTTAAAGCAAACTTAATTTTCTGGCCGTAAAAGCGTTGCTAGCGCATCAATTATGTACGCTCGCCGTTGTCCGCAAACTTTAGCGTCGGAGCCTCGCTTTTATCAAGAGTACTAGGTTCTGAACGCCTTCTATGACGTGTAAGTGACTGATTCTTACATACCCGGTCTTGTTGAATAGAAATCTGTGTTGGGCAGTTCTCTGTAAACAGTGGAAAGTTTTGTACTTGTGCTTATGCCTTAAACAAAACCACAGAAATGCGTTACTTTTGTGTTGAATTA